TAAGCCAGAGGACTGAATATATGTCTCTCTTCCAGATGAAATGAAAATAATTTTTCAAAAATGTATATAACAAAAATAAAACGTGGGGCTTGGCAGGATAGCCTAGTAACTAAATTCCTCACCTTGCCATGTGCTAGCATCCCATATGGGTGCCAATTCATGTCCTAGCTACTCTACTTCCCATCCAGCTCCCTGCCTGTGGCCTGGGAAAGCAGTCGAGGACGGCCCAAAGCCTTGGGACCCTGCACCCACGTGGGAGACCCAGAAACTCCTGGCTTCACATCAGCACAGCTCTGGTTGTTGAGGCTACCTGAAGAGTGAGCCAGCAGAAGGAAGACCTTTCTCTCCGTACGTCTGACTTTCCATTAAAAATAATCAAATCTTAAAAAAAAAAAAAACCTTTAAAAAGAAGTAAGATGTTTCCAGAGATTATGTGACAGCAAGTTTCAGTTTCGTTTCAGGAATTACACAGCAAAGAAGCGAGACAGGGAAGGAGAGAGACTGTGTAAAAGAGTAGGGTTGTTGCAAAGGGCAAAATTATGAGCTACAGAGAAGGGGACATTTTGTTAGAAGACCATGAGGGGATCAGCAAGGACAGGAGAGACTGACAAAGATTAGGAGGTACAGAAGAGGAACTGTGGGATGGCTCAGCAGCTAACTCCTCGCCTTACAAGCACCAAGATCCCATATGGACACTGGTTTGTTTCCTGGCTGCCCCACTTCCCATCCAGCTCCCTGCTTGTGGCCTGGGAAAACAGTCAAGGACAGCCCAAAGCCTTGGGACCCTGCACCTGGGACATGAGACCTAGAAGTTCCTGGCTTCAGATCAGTTACCAGTTACTGCGGCCACTTGGGAATGAAGCAGGTGACAGGAGATCTTTCTTTCTGCCTCTCCTTTCTGTAAATCTGCCTTTCCAATAAAAATAAATAAATCTTAAAAAAAGAAGTGGGGGGCCCGGCGGTGTGGCCTAGTGGCTACAGTCCTCGCCTTGAACGCGCTTGGATCCCATATGGGCACCGGTTCTAATCCCAGCAGCTCCACTTCCCATTCAGCTCCCTGCTTGTGGCCTGGGAAAGCAGTCGAGGACGGCCCAAAGCCTTGGGACCCTGCACCCGCATGGGAGACCTGGAGGAAGTTCCTGGTTCCTGGCTTCAGATCGGCACAGCACTGGCCATTGCGCTCACTTGCACAGTGAATCATCAGATGGAAGATCTCTCTGTCTTTCCTCCTCTCTGTATATCTGACTCTGTAATAAAATAAATAAATCTTAAAAAAAAAAGAAAAGAAGAGGGACTGTAAGAGTGGAGGTGTCATGAAACATGGGAACTATGAGAGGCAGAGAGGTAGGGATTTTGAAAGAAAAACGTGATTGCTCGGGGAGTGGGAATTGTGGAGACTGAAAACGTCAAGAGAGAAGCTGTGAGGGGAGTGAATGAGGGGCACAATTTTAGGGTGGTAGGAAATCCACTTGCTTGCTCAGGGGAAGGGAGACAGGGACTAAAGGTAAGGTCCTGGGGCTCAATACCACCACTTGCCAAATGAGGAAATTGAAGCTTAAGCTCAGATAAGTCAACCGATTTCCTTGGGTCGCCGAGCTACAAGTCACAGAGGCTTGATTTACTCAAAATAACCCACTTCTAACATCAGTATTCTAGCGCACCACACAGCTTTCCCAGTTATCTCTAAAGAAGTTACATAACTTGCCCAAAGATATACTTTTACTCCTCTGTACAGAGACCTTCTGACTCTAACAGCCTTTAAAAACATGATTTTGGGAGCTGTCATTATGGCACAAGTTATGTCACAGCCTGAGACACCGCAGTCCATACTGCAGTGTTCATTTGGGTCCTGGAGGCCGTGACCTTAGTCCAGCTTCCTGCCAATGCACTTGGCAAGGCAGAAGATGACCAGAGTGCTTGGGCCTCTGCCACCCTCATGGAAGACCAGGCTAGAGTTGCTGACCTAGTTATGGTGTAGCCCAGACCTAGCTGCTGAAACCATGTAGGTGGGTGAATCAGCAGACTGAATATATTTCTATTGGTCTCTCTCTGTCACTGCCTTTCAAACAATTAAACAGTTTAAAGATTATATTTTGGGGGGACCTGGTGTAGTAACCTACTGGCTGAAGTCCTCACCGTGCATGTGCCAGGATCCCATATGGGCGCCGATTGTGTCCCCGCTGGCTGCTCCACTTCCCTTCCAGCTCTGTTTGTGGCCTGAGAGAGCGGTGGAGGATGGGAGACCCAGAAGACCCTTTCTCCTGGCTTTGGATCGGCTTGGCGCCAGCCGTTATGACTGCTTAGGGAGTGAATCAGCAGATGGAAGATCTTTCTCTCCTCTCTGTAAATCTGACTTTCCAATAAAAAAAAAATCTTTAAAAAGCATATTTTTAAAAAGGGAGACAATTATTCCTATCCAACATTTCTTTTTACTACATTAAAATTTAACACCTTTTAAGGACATAATCAACACAGGGAAAGGTAAGCTACAGAACTAGAGGAAATACCTGGAAATCACGTATCAGATAAGGGGTTACTATCTAGAATGCATTTAAAAAATTTTAAGATTTTCCATCTGCTGGTTCACTCCCCAAGTAGCTGCAACAGCCAATGCTGAGCCAATCTGAACCCAGGAGCTTCCTCCGAGTCTCTCACATGGGTGCAGGGTTCCAAGAATTTGGGCCACCCTCGACTGCTTTCCCAGGCCACAAGCAGGAGCTGGATGGGAAATGGAGCAGCCGAGATATAAACTGGCGCCCACAAAAAAAAATATATATATATATATGTATCTTACAAGTCAACAATACTGAAACAACCCAACTAAAAAGAGTGCAAAGAAGTTAAAGAGACATTTCTTCAAAGAAGACATACAAGCGGCCAATAAGCACACTGCGAAGATACTCAGCATCACTTATCTAATGATGCAAATCAAAACCACAAGATAGCACATTATTCCATTAGGATGGCAACTATCTAAAAACAGACGGGGCAGGCATTTGGCCTAACAATTAGGGCCCTGGGAAGAATCTCAGCATCACACAAGGAAATGCTGTGCTCAAGGCTTAGGTTTGAATCCCAGCTCTGCAAATGATTCCAACTTCCTGCTAATGCACACCTTAGGAGGTAGCAGGTGATGGCCCAACTTCTTGGGAGTTGCCAGTCACATGGGCGACACATACTGAGTTCCAAACTCCAGACTTCAGGAGCTGTTGCAAGCATATGGAGAATGAGCCAGCAGATGGGAGTGCTCCCGTACTCATTTGGGCTTTCTCTCTCCCCTTTCTCTGCCTTTCAAATAAATAAAACAAATAAAAATGCAAAAGAATTACTGTATGTTTCAACAATTCCACTTCTTCGTGTACATCTAAAAGAACTGAAAGCACAGGCTCAAAAAGACTATTCACAACAGTAATTCAAGAAGTGTGTGGGGCCCAGCGCAGTAGCCTAGTGCCTAAAGTCCTTGCCTTGAATGCCCCCGAGATCCCATATCGGCACCAGTTCGTGCCCCAGCTGCTCCACTTCCAATCTAGCTCCTTGCTTGTGGCCTGGGAAAGCAGCAGAGGATGGCCCAAGGCATTGGGACTCTGCACCCACGTGGGAGACCCAGAAGAGGCTCCTAGCACTTGGGTTTAGATGGGCTCAACTCTGGTCGTTGCAGCCAGTTGAAGAGTAAACCAGCAGATGAAAGATTTTTCTGTAAATGTGACTTTCCAATAAAAATAAACAACATCTTAAAAAAAAAAATCTGTTTTTAAAATAAGTTTGAGGGCCCGTGGGCCAGGTGCGATGGTCTAGTAGTTAAATCCTCGCCTTGTAACTCTAACTCTGCCTTTCAAACAAATAAAATTGATTATTTCAAAGCAGAAGTCTGTGGAAAAACTGATTTAAAAGATTAATTCATTTTGGTGCAAAAAAAAAGTGAAACTACATACAGATGATCTTCAAACAGTTCAAGATTTTTTTTTTACTATGAAATAACTTGTGAAAAAAAAATAAAGTGTGGATTTCAAAAAATTACAGCAAAACAAACTCATCTTTTGGCCCTATTTTGCATAAACTTTCCGAAGGTTCCTCATACATACCCATGTATATACATCAGCAGTATTCACAACAGCCAAGAAACAGAAGCAACTCCAGCAAGTTTCAGCAGATAGTAAACATACCCTCAGTCTGAAAAATGAAATCTGGCATATGGTACAGCATGAACCTTATGGTAAGTGAACACTGAACACCCTCCATTTAGGTAATCAACATACAGTGGTCAGTTCATAAGGACAGAAAAATGGTGGCTGCTAAGGACTGGGGAAGGGAGAAAAAGGAAGTTGTTTAGCGGAAATAGTAGCACTCTGGTAGAACTAAATCAGTTCTGGAGATGACCGGTGACAACGACTGTACAATAAAGAAAACATAACGCCACTGATCTGTACACTTAAAAACCATTACGATGGCAAACTTAATGTTATTCTATTAGGTATAATTCTATTCTATTACTCTATTATGTATAATGTTAATGTCTATTCTAGCACAATTTCAACACACTGCTCAAATATTTCCTCCCCTGACCCTTGTAGCTGGCCATCTCTTTTACTACAACACTGTGCTCTGCACATTACACCTCTTACAAGCAGTTATCAAACACTGCAGAAATGCCTGGTTTGTCGGTCCGTTTCCACCAGATTCTAAACGACCGTGGGGGCAGGGCCGGTGTTTTACTCAGCTCTGTGTCCCCTAAGCCTGAGAGCTTGGTACGCCGGAGAGAGTCCACTGAAGTTATAGCTTTGAAAGCACTCGGACTGGAAGATTATTTGACCAGAGCGTTCTCTAGCCTCCGGAAACCTGGCCTACGCTCAGAGCTGAGTCTCTGGACCGCGCGAGCCTCACATAGTTCCGCCTCAGCAGTCCGGGCCCGATGGAGGGTCCGAGGGCCACTCCACCACTCACCCCACCCCGGCCCCGGACCAGGGCCTGCAAGCCAGGCCCGCCTGGCATCCCAAATATACCTCAAATAACGGGCGGTCTGCTCTGGGCTCAAAGCTTCGGCTTCCGCAAAGCCCCGGGACGGCTCCATGACCGAGTTGAGTTTCAAGTATCTCGGCGGGCGCTTCAATCTCGCGCGCTCCCGCCCCGCGCATGCTCTGTGCGCCCACCAAAGACGGCAGAACGTCGGCTTTACAGCAGGCCAATCCGCGGCCTCGCATTCCGGCACCAAAGCCTGAGTCCCGCCCACGAAGGTCTTGCGCTTGCGCCTGAGCCTAAACTCGCTGGAGCTACGACACAATCGCTGCGTTTCTGGCGCGGGTCGGATTACGTCACTCTGTCTCATTTACAAGCCGTTCCGATCCCTGCTTAGGCCGATAGGTGTATGTACTGTCATTGTAAGACTTGCTCACAATATCGCTCGGTGGTTATGAGCGCACCTCCTGCGCACCCCACTCTTGGGTTTCCAGACTCCCCTCTTGTAGCTGCTCGCCAGTGACTTGACACTGAGCGTACTTTAAACAACCAGGAAGGTGTAGTCTCCATGACCACACTCAGATTGAGGGAGGATCGTAGTAAAGAACCAAAGGAAAGTTCTCACCGAAGAAATAAGTAGGGGGATGGGCATTTAGGGTAGTTAAGACTGGCCTTGGGGGCCAAGCGCGGTAACCTAGTGGCTAAAATCCTCTGCCTTGCACGCCCGGGATCCACATCCCCGCTGCTCCGCGTCCCTTCCAGCTCCCTGCTTGTGGTCTGGAAAAGCAGTGGAGGACAGCCCAAAGCCTTGAGACGCTGCACTGGTTCACTCTTCAAATGGCAACAACACCTAGATCCAGTGCTGGTGGAAGCTAAGAACTTCATCCAGGTCTCCCAGGTGGTTTTACGGCCTATGCATTGAGCCATCTTCTACTGCTCTGCTAGGCCCATTAATAGAAATCTATGTGGAAAATGGAACAGCTGGGATTTGAGCCAGCACACTGCTGATAGAAATAGTGGCCTAATTTGCTATGCCATAGCGCTGGCCCCTGACTTTCACCTTTGAAAATATTACTGCCTCAGAAAAATTTATGATTATAGATAGCACTGTTCATTTCTTTTTAAAAGAATCTACTTTAAAAAAAAAAGGAATCTATTTAACTATTTTATTTTTGAAAAGTACAGAGAAATCTCTTATTTGCAGGTTCATTTCCCAAAGGCCAAGAGCTAGGAATTCAATCCAGGTGTTCCACATGGTGCAAAAATTTGAGGCCATTTTCTGCATGAAACTCTCTGCAGCTGAGTCAGGACAAAACCTGGCACTCCCATGTGGGAAGTGGACAGCCCAAGGTAGATCTGTTTTTTAAGACTTATTTTATTTATTTATTTACTTTTTTTTGAAAGTTAGATCTACAGAGTGAAGGACAGACAGAGAGAAGGATCCTCCATCCGCTGGTTCATGCCCCATGTAGCCACGGCGCCCGGAACTGAGCCGATTCAAAGCCAGGAGCTTCTTCTAGGTCTTCTGCCACATGGGTGCAGGGTCCCAAGGATCTGAGCCATCCTCCACTGCTTTTCCAGGCCATAACTAGGGAACTGGATGCAAAGTGGAGCAGCCAGGACATAAACCAGTACCCATATGGAATTGGAGATGGAGAATTAATCAGTTGAGCCATTGTGCTGGCCCCGAGGTAGAGCTTTATTAAACGATTGATTGATTGATTGATTGATTGATTTGGAAGGTAGAGCAGTAACAAAGGGAGAAACCTATCTTCTGTCTGCTGGTTCACTCTCCAAAGGCCTTCCATAGCCAAGGCTCAGCCAGGCTAAATTTACAAGTGAGGAGGAACTCCATCTAGGTATCCCATATGGATGACAGAGACCCAAATACTTGGGCCACCATTCACTGCCGCCAAGTGCACTACCAGGAAGCTGGATCAAAAGTGGAGTAGCCAAGACTTGAACTGACACTTTGAATGTGGGATGCAGGCATCCCAAATGGGAGCTTACCCGAAGTGCCACAGTGCCTATCCCTCAAGGCAGACCTTTAACAAGCACTGAAGGTATGAATGGATCAATGCCTTAAAGCTAAAGAGACTAAATAGCCCCTTTGTGTATCTACGCTCCCTCAATGTGAGAGCACAGTGTTGTACCATCTCCAGATACAACAAAGCACCATCTTGGAAGTGGAGATCAATACTCATAAAGCGACCCAGCTGCCACTTTGATCACAAACTATGCAGCCTCCAGAACTATGAGAACAACATTCTCTGGTTTTTAGCAATTACCTAGCCCATGGTATTTTGTTAGAGTAACGCATATGCACTAAGAGTAGGTTGAGTGTCCAGGTGTCCTGGGTACATGAAGAGTGAGAAGAGGAGAATAAGGAACACATAGGGAAGAAGTAGGTAGACAAGTCATGAAATGAGAGCACTGAAACCTTCCTCCAGAGTCCAAGGAAAGCCATGCCTCTTTGCACTTAGAGCTGGGGTTGCACCATCATCGTTAATATCCCTACAAATGTTGAGAATTCGAGATGAAGCAGAGTAGGGCTTTGGTCCCTTTGTGGGCCTTTGTGGGCTGTGAAGAAAGGCTAATAGGAACTGCCACCCAGAACCTGCCTACTGCCTCTCTGATCTCCAGCTGGCAGTAATCACACAGGCCTAATCCCTGGGAAGGAAGGAGGAAACGTCCACTTGTCTGCCCTGTGAATACTGGACTTCCTTGCTTGACCTTGTTTCTACACAGTTGCAGGGCTCTGCTTCCTTTAAACTCCCAGGCCAAGGCTGCCGCCCTGGCCCTAAGCCTGTGGTACAGACATCCCATTTGAGCGCTACTTCAAGTCCCAGCTGCTCCACTTCCAATCCAACTCCCTGCTAATAGGCCTGAGAAAATTCTGGAGCATGGCCCAAGTGCTTGGGACCCTACATCCATGTGGGAGACCTAGAAAAAGGTCCAGGTCTTGGTTTCACATCAGCTCAACTCCAGTCATTTTGGCCATTTGGGGAGAGACCCAGGGGATGGGCAATCTTTCTGTCTCTCCTTGTCTCTGCAATGATGCCTTTCATATAAAAATAAGTGAACCATTTTTTATTATTTTAAAATTTATTTGGGCCTGGCAGTAGCCTAGTGGCTAAAGTCCTCCCTGCACATGCCGGGATCCCATATGGGCGCCGGTTCTAATCCCAGCAGCCCCGCTTCCCATCCAGCTCCCTGCTTATGGCCTGGGAAAGCAGTCAAGGACGGCCCAAAGCCTTGGGACCCTGCACCCATGTAGGAAATCGGAAGAAGCTCCTGGTTCCTGGCCACAGATAAGCTCAGCTCCAGCCCTTGTGCCACTTAGGGGATGAAACAGAGGATGGAAGATCTTTCTCTCTCTCTATCTCCTTCTTTCTGTGTATCTGACTTTCCAATAAAAATAAATAAATCTGGGGCCCGGCACGGTGGTCCAGCAGCTAAAGTCCTCACCTTGAAAGCGCCGGGATCCCATATAGGTGCCGGTTCTAATCCCGGCAGCTCCGCTTCCCATCCAGCTCCCTGCTTGTGGCCTGGGAAAGCAGCAGAGGACGGCCCAAAGCCTTGAGACCCTGCACCCGCGTGGGGGGCCCAGAGGAGGTTCCTGGCTCCTGGCTTTGGATGGCTCAGCTCCAGCCATTGTGGTCACTTGGGCAGTGAGTCATTGGACAGAAGATCTTTCTGTCTCCCTTCCTCTCTCTATATCTGACTTTCCAATAAATATAAATAAATCTTTAAAAAAATATTTTAAAATATTTTAAAATTTTTAAAATATTTTTTAAAAAAATTTTTGTAAAAGAAAGTAATAGCTATAGAAAGAAGAAGAGAAACGGAGATCTTGCATCTGCTGGTTCACTCTCCAGATGACCACTAGGAGCCAGAAGCTTCTTCCAGGTCTCCCATGTGGTAGCAGGGGCCCATTCACCTGGGCCATCTTATGCTGTGTTTCCAACACACAAAGTGGAGCAGCTGGGAATCAGCTGGTGTCTATATGGGATGTTGGCTTTGCAGGTGGTGGCTTAGTCAGTATGCCACAGGGCAGCTTTGGGCCCTTCTTGATGCTGTCTGGAGTCCCAGCTCCCACTGCAGAGCTCCACTGACCCAAGGAAACACCGCAGCACAAGCAACAGGTCATCCATGTTCATAGCCAAGAAAGAAGAGGGGTGCAAGGGGCTTTAGAGTGGATAAATGGAGAAAATAAAAAAGAATCCAAATAATAGTTGCTGCTCTATCCCACTTATCATGTAGCAGGCCCTGTTTAAAGCACTTTACATATATTAACTCTCTCGGCTGCTCCTCACTCCCCATTTAGCCTGAAGAGAGAGCTCCCATCCCCCCCACTTCTCTCAAGGGAAAGGTGTTGCAAAAGCCCTCCCTAATTACTGTTAATTTTTAAGAGTGCTAATGGTACTGTTACAGGGAGTTTTTTCGAGCCTTCATCTGTTAGAAACACATATTGGAATATTTTCAGACAAAGTGATATGACATCTGGGACTAAAATTAAAATACTCCAGTAGGGAGAAAAAAAGAAAGAACTATACATGAATAAAGATTGGCAAAATGTTGATGATTGTTGAAGCTTGTTACAGAGGTTCATTATCCTCTTCTCTGTGTTTCTATATTTGAAAATTTCCATAATAAAAAATTTTTAAAGCAAAACTTCCAGCTTAATTTGCAAATTGCACTGACTCACCGGCACTCACAGACCGGAAATAAGATAATGAGGCTTTGTAGGAGTGTTTCAGAATGAGTAAATGGAGAGCTAGATGAGGCAGAATAAGAACAATTGGCTATTACTCATAAGGGTGCTTCAAAACCTGATGATAAATGGAATTAAAAGGTAAGTTTATTTTGGATGTAAAAAGTTTTGAGATCCAAGGATGTTTTTTGTAGTATGTGTTTTCCACGAAACTTTTGAGAACTTCTCATATAGCACATAAATGCCAGGCCTTGTTCTGTATGCTTTACATACACTAAGCCTTGTTTAAAATATATAGATGGATCTGTTTATTTATTGGAAAGGCAGAGTGACCGAGAAGAGAGGAAGTGAGGGGGAAAGTAAAATAAAAGCATAGAGTGAGGGAAATCTCTAGTTCGCTCTCCAAATGCTCAAAATCATGGCCAGGCTGAAGTCAGGAGCCGTGAATCCCATCCTGGGTTA